TACAGACCATTAAATTGGATTTGTGTGGCTGTAATGAGCAGCCTTCAACCACAGCTGTCATCACATGATGCACATTTTTGGGGTATGGACATTTAACGTAGTCATCTGCAGCCTCTGTAGAATATTTGCCAGATATGAATGGTAACATGGGTTCATTTAATCCAGTGGATCCCAAAGTTGTTTTGCAGTTAAAGAAGAAAAGAAGTAAAGTTTCCACCCAGTTCAATGATACACAAGTCTTAAACTCCTGGCCCCCAGGCCACCCTCAAAACCTGGCTGGTGACTAGATGCAGTAATGATTTAATACAGTTGACCATTTAGCCGTTGCCTTCAACTCATTGGAGATTGAGAGCCCGGGTTTAGAAGGAGAAACTGATATTTAAGTCTGTTACAGTCTTTTTTGTATTTTAATCATTCACTCAATACTTTTGTTTATTTCTTTCTAGTGATCCTGCTCAAGGTTACAGGAGGAGCTGGACTAGGAGCCTATAATTTGACATTGAAATAATAGGGTAGATCACGGGCAAATGGGTCACACTGAAACCAACAGCAATTCACACTCTAGTGTAAATAAATCAGGATTACCAATATTATTTTTCTCTAACTATGCCCCCAAGACACGAGCCGCAGCTGAGTGTCTGAGAGTCAACTCCCCGACCGTCCAGATGTTGGCCTAAATTTCTGCAAATAGCAGCATATGTGGCCCACTTCTATGTCCTCACACCCAGTGGATGTCCCCCTGTGTAGGATGTCAGCCGTAGGTCTGGCAGGATCGGCTCAACAGAATCCCATGGTTGATTTTGGTTGTATGACAACACAGTGTAGTACAATATTTGATGTTGTCATAACTATGCACTACCTTACAATGGCTGATGAATCAAACCGAGGCACTACCTCGAGGCACTGAGTTTGATCTCAAGGGGGCGCCATGCTACACATCAGGTTTATAACAGTATCTATATCACACGTGTCAAACTAAGGCTCAGGGCCCAAATCTGGCCCGCAGTATATAGCCCCTGTATACTGGCAGGATTTGCAGTATTAGCAGTGTATGCACTATGTTATAGCACATACTTTTTTTTTTTTGGTATTGAGTAACTGTAAAAGTCAAATTAAATGATCTGCTCAGACATTGGAGAGCAATAGTGGGTGATTAGAAACACAACACTATTTTTTTTTGTGATTAATAATGTGTTTGCTAAGTGATGTCAACACCAGGCAAGTTGAGTTAAAGCGTAGCTGAATATAAATGCACTGAATGAGACAGAGACACAGACCGGCCTCCTGGCACCTGGGCCACCTCCAGTGGCACGAGGCCAGACTTCGACTCTGCTGCAGCTGGCTGAGAGCAGATGTTTGAAGGCAGATGAGAGAAGAGCGGCGGTGAATCTTCAGAAGTGAAACTAAAGCCGTGAAGATTCACAACAGCCCACAAGGTTAAATATGTGCCAAACGCCCTCCATCAATTCAGTTTAATCCAAAGCTGTTGTTCTATTATTTGTATGTGGTGCAGCAGATATGACCTTCCTCCACAGCGCAATCCTTGTCATTCAGTTAATCATTCGTTAATTAAATTCAAACTGTTGTCTGCAATATTGCGTCCATCTTTGGTCTGTGATTAAGTCTCTGATCAACACTGATTATTTGCAGTAATAGTTATAGATGTAATGGAAGAGAGAGTAATTCCTCATCCATCTTGATTTGAAATTCCTCTAATTCTAATGACACACACTCGATGAGCATGTAGTGACACCGAGCTTGTGAAAGGAATTATTAGCACTGATGGTGAGAATGTGAGCACGTCTGTTTCCAGGTTGTTGAAAGGTTTGACTGAGTGATTTGAGCAGAAAAAATGACAGAACAATATGTACGACGAAGGACCCGCTGTTCATTGTCACTCTGATCTGGCAACACACAGAAAATAAATTGTATGTTTGTATGTCCATTAATTGTCAATAATAGTGATTGATATAGAACAAAAATGTGATTTATCAGAATAAAATGTATTTTTAATCATTTTACCTAAAGCAAAGAAAGCCAAATGAGGTAAACTGGTTTTAAAAATAAATGAGGTAAGAAAAGACGACAGCTGGTTGGATATGAGACCATGAGTTTGTGTTCAGTTTTAAAAAGAGGACAATACAAATGTAAGATTGCCAGACAGGGCAAGCTTTATTCAACACAGCAATAAGGAAAAAGAAAGCAGTAACCAAAAATAAAAGCATGGGTCCAAATCAGTAATTAAAAGGCAAATAAATATTCACATCAAATACAAAGTTGTCGTTTGACATCCTTCAAGATATCTTACAATGATTATAAAACAGAGACAGTATGTACAGTCATACAACTTTAATAGGACATGCTTAGGATTTTGACTGCACCATTGTATCACAAACTGACTACAACACAAAGGCTGCATATTAACTGACAAGGTCGCTGCATCTCTTCTACGAACTGTCCGTCAGTCCGTCATCAAAACATTTGGCGTCACAGCTCTGAACCAGAGAAAAGAAAAACCCTCAAGAACACTGTGTTTTACAGCTAGTCTGGGGATCAATGTGTATCTGATGCTATAATAACCAATGTGTGGACGTCTGCTTGTGAGCTAACCGCCTCTGTCCACACCACCAACACCAACAGCCAGTGTCTGTGTTTCCTCTGCTCAACTGTTGCTAGGCAATCCTGAGGAATTTGGTGTGTGTGTGACCATGAACGGGAAGCTTTTGTGCAAATCACCGCTCAAAGTTCCTTCGATTAGGAGTGGAGGTTCACAGCTTTACACAGATGCTACAACCATCGCAAGAAAATATTTTAAAGACAACACTGAAAATCCATATCATGCAAATAAATATTTAAAAAGAAAAATATGGAAAAATAACTTTCTTTGGACAGGGCCAGCCTGTGCATTTGGATTACTTGTTCTTCTTGTTTCAACACCGTTTTCTTCGACATCCTAGCCCTTTTCACAGGATTGTTTGACTTTGTATATGGTCAATTTTTAACCCACGACACGTCACGTCATCTCACGAAACCCCCCAAAACCATGGTTCTTTCTTATTCGCACACTCTGGTATTTTTTTTTTCTAAACCC